AATGCAGGAAGCTGCATTATTCTCAGCACTATTTAAAATTTTTAAAATTTTTATTAAAGATTTCTTAATTTACAAAAGTATGTGCAATGTTTCTTTCCCCCAATTGTGTTTTCTACAGATCAGTTTCATTTGTTGAGACGTTAGTGTTACATTAGGAAGAAAAGGGGGAAAGAGGGGGAGGGGGGAATGGTGATTGGGGTTGGGTGGCAATGCTTCTACAGTATTCTACTTAGTGTATGTGTGGGGACTTGTGTCGGTTCTCTTTATTATTCACTTTCTTTCTTTGGGGGGTGAGAGAGGTTGGGGGTGGCCTAGGGTTGTCTTTGGTTGGCTGTAGTGAGAATTGTTTTTTCTTTGAGCGGGGTATGAGTGTGTATTTTTGAATCAGGTTAGTCAGATTGATTTGTATGCTGTTGGTGGATTCTGGTTGTTGTCTTGTTGGGCTGTGTATGTGATAAAGGGGAACCATGCTGGGTGAAGGCATCTTCTTCAATTTGTCCCTGTGTCAGTTTCAGTTTATTGGCTAGTTTTTCTAATAAGGCTGTTTCCCATACTATTTGATACCACTGGTCCATGCTTACTCCTGACAGGTCTCTCCAGTGTCTGGCTATGATGCTTCTGGCTGCTGAGAGTAATATATATATATCTTGCAAGACAATAATGCCCACTCACATCACAAAGAGCTCATAACCCAGGCAGATGGGAGGGGTATAAATAATAAATTATTATTATTATTAATAATAATATAATTTATTATTTATACCCCTCCCATCCGCCTGGGTTATGAGCTCTTTGTGATGTGAGTGGGCATTATTGTCTTGGAAGATGTTTAGTAGGACCAGTTCTGGGGTGACGTCTAATACTTGCTTAGTTATTTTGTGTATTTCTTGTATGGTTGATGTCCAGAAGGGTTGGCTTTTAGGATATACTCAGTACTATTGACAACTGAGTGGCAGTGGCTCTGCAGGGGGTCAGGCAAGAGTCTTTTCTAGACCAACCTGGAGATGTCAGGATTGAACCTGGGACCTTCTGCCTGCTACTGAGCTACCACCCTTCTTTCATCAATCACTTTGACTGCAACACCACACAGCCATAGGCAGCATGCAGAAATCAGGGGTAGTCATTGGAGACTTCTTCTCCCCATTCCCATCCAGTCTGGATCTAGACTCTTGAGCATGCTTCCACCTTATTTATAGCTAGTTGCTGAAGGTCAAGTGAGAGGCAAATCAGCAGGTGGCAATTTCTGTGGCATTTATATCATGGAACAATCAAGTTCCTGAAACATCCAGTGGAGGACTTTTTAATATCAATGTTGGGTTGTTGTTTTTTGGGGGGTGGGGTGGGGGGGTAGATGGGTAGATGTTTCCCCATTTGTGTATGTCATGTATTTAGTCTTGATGTTTTTATTGATGCTTTTTATGATGTTCTTCTTGTGGATGGCTTTGGGATGTTGCACAGGAAACGATTCAGAAACAAAGTGGAATGGAATGGAATGGAATGAATGGATATAGCCTGTTTTCTGCATTCCTAGGTAGTGGAGCAGCTACCAGGCAGAATCTAGGTAGGTCTCTCAGAATGGCAGTGAAACAGATTGTTTTATGGCTGTTGTAAGGAGAAGAAAATGTTCTTCTCTTGATACTATAACTTAATCAAAGGAATAGAGAGGGGTCATGGAGCAAATTCTTGAAACCAAATGCACAAGTTATAAATAAATATGCCTTGGCAAGCACAGAAGTGCCTTTGGAAAAGCCTAAAAAGGCTAGAATGAAATATTCCATTATTTTGAGTACTTTTTAAATAAAAAAAGTCCTTGTTATTAACCTGAAATATTTGAGAACAAGCTCTGCCATGGTCCTGTCTCCACTGTCTGGCTTGACAACTCTGTCCTCCCACCCAAACACACAGACGCACACACAGTCCAGGACACACAAAACAATGTCTTCAGGAATGTAGAGAGAGATTTCAGCTGGGAAGGGTTGCCAGCATTTCTGTTCTTGCCTTAGTCAAAGGGCTGAGCTGGTGTTACGATCAGGACACCCCTTCGTTGTGCTTCTGCTGTGATCACTTGGCAGGGTTTATTGAGAGTCACCCAGTGCCAATTTGCTCAGATGCATCAATTACAGCACCCATCACTCCGGAGCCTTTTTCTGTCCTTCTGTCCTAATTGTCAGATCCTGTGGGTAGCAATGCAAGCTGCTCTGGAGGGAGTGGGGTCCTGTGGATTGTTTGGGTTGTAGTGGTGTTCTCCTGTTGCCTGAGAGCATGTAGACAAAGGGGGGGGGGAAGAGTTCTAGTTCACTTATCCAAGTTCACTTATCTTGAAACAATGACCATTTGATTTAATACTTCCTGGCTGCTTCCACACATGCTTCCTCAGAAGTAAATCCCACTGAATTCAGTGAGAGGTATTCCTGGCAACCAGGCATACTTTGGATAGTGGCAGCCTTTGTGCGGAACACATTTCTTTGAGAGGGGCCATAGCTCATGCTTTGCATGTGAAAGATCTCAGGTTCAACTCCCAGTATCTGCAGTTAAAGAATCTCTCATCCAAGGCCTTCGGCAGAGGTCTGATGCTGACTTAGATGAAGTTGACTCCTCTGGGTGAGTGCGAAGGACTGGGAAGAGACCCTGTGCCAGGGCCCTCTGATATCTCAGGCAGAGGTCTTGATGGGTTACTGGGCTAGATGTCTCAATGGTCTGACTCCCAGGGTGTGGACTGAGGGCTGGAAACATCTCAGTCCTTTGGCTCTTCAGTGTTGCTGGACTAATGCATGGCTAATGGCTAAGGAGTCATAGTTCAGCAACATGGGGAGGGTCAAAGGTTCCCCATCCCTGGGCTAGTCTCACTACATCACTTTCTTGATAAAAGAAAATCCAGGCACGCCGGGGAGTTTCTCACAATACCTCCTGTGTGCTGTTTTTTGGATGAGATGTTGAACGATAACTTCAGAACATCACGTAACTGTTTACAAGGTTTCCATCTTTATATAAGGCTTTTGATGCACCAGCGCAATACAGAGTCCCCACTTTATTACCATTTTTGGCCACAAACATTTCAGGTGTTTTTCCCCCAAAGTAGCTCTGGTCTGTGCTTCCCTCGTGTGGTGAGAATTAATATAGCAGCTTCTGCCATTTTTAATTTTGTTTTAACCTGGGATGCATCAACAAGGTGTGTTTTATTTTACCCACCATGTGCTCCTGACCCTTTTAAAGAATGGCACCAAGTTGCACAGTGTTGGAGATTCTACGGGTTTCTTTGCACCTCTTCAGTGCAACAAAATGCAGTGACTTATGCCAGCAACAGTGACATGGATAGATTTGTTAGGACCAGCCAAAGAACTCATAAAGTGAGCAAGTTTTAAAGTTCACTTTCTTTCATGCAGAAAGGTGGGAGGGAGAACAAAGGGCAATATTCAACAAGGTTTTTTTTGTGCTTGTGCAAGGATTGGTGCTAGTGCAAGGCGATTGCCACCTCTCCTTCCTCTGTGCCATCCCCAAATCTGCTCTGGAGGGTTGGACTAACCCTTAGAACAGTTGCAGGGGCAGGGGAGGGATGGATATGTTCTGTTGCAACAGGAAATAGCCTTACATAGAATAAAACCCAAAGAGGTTTAACCCCTTGTATACTATATTGCTGTATTATAGTGTAAGCCACTTGGAGGCTGTTTCATTTTAGTAGTTGGCATCTAACGACTCCAGTCAATTAGCCAATATTGCAATGGGATGGAGAATGTGGCCTACAGTCTCAACAGCACAATCCTATATATGTCTGTCAGAAGTAAGCTCCATGGTCTTCTATGGGGCTTACTCTTAGATATAGGATTGCAGCCTCAATTAGACAGAGCTTTCTTTCCCCATGAACCTTCCATATGTTTTGTCCCATACGCCTTTATGTTAGCCAAGCCGGCTGGAGTCTATGGGAGCTGTAGGCCCCAACAACATCTGGAGGGAGCCAGGTTGTGGAACATCATGCCCAGTGCAAAATAGATCTTGGGTTGCTGCAAGGCATGCTAGGTGAAGGAAAAATGGATGCTCTTCCATTGAAACCAGGAGAACCACCAGATCCATCTCTAGGACTAATTTAAAAGCACATGTCCCTTGTGAGAGCAAAAATGAAGAAAAAGTGGTAGGTTGTTTGTTTTTAATAGGGACAAAATGAGAAATGCTCCCCTCAGTGGTGTAGCGTGGGGGGTGCAGGGGGGGGCCCGGCTGCACCGGGCACAACATCTGGGGTTAGGGCAAATCCACAGGTTAGGGGGCGCAAATCCACAGGTTAGGGGGCGCAAATCCACGGGTTAGGGGGCGCAAATTACTTGCCTTGCCCTGGGTGCTGACAACCCACGCTACGCCACTGGCTCCCCTACTGATAAGTGTGTGGACAGCAACCTTGTACTTTCCATTGTGCTGGCAGGCGTGGCACTTCTCCTGCAGTTGCCATCCCTGCTTCCTGATTTTAGGATACATTTGCATCTTTTGTGCAAAACAGAAGTACTTTATTTCAGAAATAGCAAAAACCACTGCTCTTCATGGAGAGGGGAAGAGGGGAGGGAATAACATTTGCCAGGCATAAAAACGCTGCTGATAAATGTGAGTTCCCTACATCAGAATTCAGAGTAGGGCTGAATGAACACGGTCTCTGACTGAAGTGGTCCGTGTGTTGCACATCACAAACTTGATTCTCAGTGTCTGGCTCATCATGAAGTAGATTTAGCTCTCACCTAGTCATATATGCAGCTGTGCCCTTCCCCATTCCCTTTGTAAGTGAATGGGCACCATTGTCTCCTCTGCAGAAAAGTAAAGGGCTGCAGTGAGGACGAAACCTGCCCGGAACACCACATCTCCTTGCAGTCTGCAAGGCTTCTGTTCACAGGATGGGCATTCTGCTACTTTCAAGTAAAGTCAAAAGATTCTCAGCTGGCTCCCTTAATAGAAGATGGGCAAATCACATTCATTCAGCACAAGTGCACTACACAGACATTCCCCAAGCCATGCACACAGGCTAACTGAATGCATAACTTTATTAAATAAATGCTTTGTCATAAGAAAAGACAAAGATCAAAGAGTAACATAAATTATAAGTTGAATAAATAGTATACAGCAATCTTCACTTTTTAATAAAATGTGAGATTCTTTTTTTTTAAAGTACAAAATGCTAAACAGAGCAATTACACTCCTCATCCATTGTCAGTTTTTTCACAAACTGCTCCCCCCCGCCCCCCACCGGTAAGAGTATGAATATTTTTTGTTTACTGCAAAAGAAAAAAAAAATATCCACAGAGCTACTGTATGTATGTAAAGCTATTAAAAGCTACCGTAAAATGTGTAGTGAATAATTCTGCGTAATGATTAAAAACCAGGTAGGATACTCGGAATCATGTGTGTATTGTTAACTGTGCTACTGAGGGCAATAACTGCATTGTAGAAGAGCTGTCCCAGTGGTGTTGTGGGAGGGGCTGAGAGTGGATGGAGTTGGAAGTTGGGAGTGCTGCAAGCCCCCCTCTCCTCCCTGGGCATTATCTGGGATGCTCATACCAGGAAGGTGGCCTGGGACTGCAGTGACCTGTCAACTGCTGAAGTTATAGATGCTCTGTTGAAAGACAGAAAGAGAGAGAGAGAGAGAGAGAGAGAGAGAGAGAGAGAGAGAGATGAAGTGGAGAAATAGTGCAATATGCTCTTGTACTAGTGGTTTCAAAATAAAACTGTCCTCTGCAACAGTGACAAGGAATATCTCAGCTTGAAAGGAGGTCTTTGCTCCCCTGGATATTGTCGTTCGTAGGCTATGGTGACATCCACACCGTATATTTAAACCATGTCTAAAGCCTGTGGTTTCCTCCCCACCCCCCAAGAGAGTTGAGTGCTAGGAATTGCAGCTCTGAGAGCAAGAAACTCTCATTCCCAGGATTGCAGGAAGCCATGTGATTCAAACATAGGATATGCATGTGACCTGCATCAGCTGCAGTGGGACCTTCTAAGACTTTAAAGATCTCTATATGCTCCTGAATCCCACTCACAAAGGTCGAAAGTGAAAGCTGCTTTGGAGATGAAAGGTATCTCACCAATTGCCTCCAAAACGTTCTCCACACTTTCCCTGTGCACAGTCTTTGAGATCAATGTCTCTGAAGGGGACTCCCCCACCGCGTTGTCTTTTAAATCTTTTTTCTCATCACCTCCCACCCTGATTCACTACTCTGGCTGGAAAGCTCTTTCTTAAATGAAGTAAACTGGGCGAGCCTTTTCTCCTTGGTCAACAATGGAGACAGTATCCTCCTCTTGAGGTGGCATAACTTTCATCTCCTACCAATGGCAGCTGGAGTCTTTATGGGGGATCATGGGTAACTGAAGAGGAAAAGCGATTCAGGCACAGAGTCGCCAGCCAAAGGGAAGGAGGGAAATCTGTGCATTCAATGGCAAATATGCCATCTTTAAAGCTTATAACATAATGGAATTGAGCACGCGTCAAAAAACATGGCGGGTTGTGTGAGTCACTCACCAGTAGCTTATGGTTGGGGGAGATTATTGAGAATGGCTTGCCAGAAATTGGCACTGTAACCAATGTAACACAAAAGGCTAATAGAAATGAAGGACTAGTAGGAGGGGTAAAGAACAAAGACTTATTCTAATAGCAGGTGCTATTAGAGTAATGAGATTCAGGACTTTTCTTCTAAAGCCGGCAGCAGTTCTAACAGGTTTTGTTTCCCCATAGTCTCTTATGCTATAGTGCCTTGGCATCTACAGGTTGGAAAGAGGTTCCTCTGCCTTTGACAGTTATAGGATTGTGAAGGTTTGTTGTTAGGTATGAATGAATGAATATGATGAATAAAGTAGCCCAAGTTCTCAGTCCTATTTCTAGCCATGTTCTACAGACTTTGGTCTTCCCAAATGTTGTCACCAGCCTGTTTGCAAACACAGTTTCCCCTCTGCTCTTAGGAGGTGATCATGCAAAGGTGATCATACAAACTCTGCAAAGGTCATGCCAGTGGTTATCACGAGGCCTCTTGAGGGCACATAAAAATGTCAACCCACTTTTAAGGTCCAGGGTGGCAAGTTTAGCACTTTTGATGGGAGCATGGCTCTTGGGGAGCTCTCCCTTTGATGGAAGTGACACTCAGGTTTGGGAAGATTCCCTAGTCTGCTCTGCAGGGCCTGTCAGGAAAAGGGGTTGTGTTATTTTTAAAAACCCTTCCTCCCGGAGAACACTGTGAACTTTTTGTGACAGTATTCACTAGTACAGAGTACTGACACCTTTTTTGGGGGGGGGCTGCCCATGGACTTTTATCTATGTATGGGTACTAGCACCTCATATTTTTTTTAACCAAAAAGAAAAGCACTGGCTTTGTAGGACTGAGACTGGGGCAGATGCTTCCCTGCCTTTCAGCTGAGATTTTGAGTGCTGCTTTAAGAAATCCATGAAGGTTGATCTTCTAATGGTGAAAGTCTACATCAGCTTTGGGTTCTCCATACTTAAGCAGCAAGGATGAAAGATGTGCTCTCTCCTGGAAAATCAGCTGTGGTCAATGCACTTGGAATGGTTTCTGCTACTGCAGTAGCCAGCAAAGTTTGCAACCAAGTAATGGAACTGTCCTCAAAGGCATCCTTTGAGCTTATGAGAAAATCCTTTTACAATATGAGTTGGCAGTTAGGTGGGAATATTATGTACTCCAAACCCCCTCACCTGCTTGCAATATCTGTACTCTGTGACTGTGTGTGTGTGTGTCCAAGAGAAGTGGGAGATGAAGTGGGTATCTCCATGCCCTGTTTACGGAGTAAGAAGGGATCTTATTTTCTATATAGGGAAAGGTTTTCAAGTTTCAGGAAATAATAAAAAAATACATATCAAGAAGGAAGGAAGGAAGGAAGGAAGGAAGGAAGGAAGGAAGGAAGGAAAAAAGATGGTTTTGGTTGAAACCAGTCCAGGAGTGCCAAGAGACTGACTCTACCAATTGGGGAGAGAAAAGGATTTTAGCAACATTCTTTCATCTTATGCAACTAAGGCTGCAATCCTTTACCCATTTACTTGGGAATAGGTCCCTCTGATCTCAATGAGACTTCTTCCTGAGTAGACATGTTACGGATTGCCCTGTAAAGATATATATTTACACCACACACTTACACTGATTTAGGAATCACTCCCTCCTTTCAGGGAACCTTAGGGACTGTAGAAAAGAACAGTCCTTAGGCTTCTTTGGCAAAAGCCATGACAATTAAATTGGTACAAAATCAGCATAACTTTGTAGTGTAAATTTCCCATAATTTCTTATGTGCCCAGCACATCTCCTGCCCCTTTATATGCTTTGTAGATTATATGTGCACTCTGCTCCACTGTCCTTTCCTCCTTGTAAATCTTCTTTTGACAATAGAGATTTGTTTTTAAATCCAAAGGGATTAAGTTCACCAGCCTCTTTGCAGCCCATAGTCATTCTACCATGGACCTTTCCCATGTATTCTTTAGACCTAGAGAAAGTGCACCATACGTGCCCTGGAGCAAGCAAAATGGATTCAGTTCTCACTTTTGGAAGATGACAGAATTCCCTCTTGCCTTTGTTCATACTGAACCTCATTTCCCCCAAAGAGATAAGAAGCCAATGCTGAGCTTTGCTGTAGCATAGATATCACCAGGTTTCATAGGACCACTTTGTCCCTCTCTGTAATGGCTAGAATGGAGAAGTCTCCTGTATGAATTACCCCTGGAAATGTCAGGACCAGATTAAAGCCTTATATAATCTGTTGCAAGGACAGGGACCATGCAGCCCTCCAGTTGCTGCTGGCCTCCAGTTCCCATTAGCTTCAGCCAGCCTGGCCAACAGTCAGAGATGACTGGAGTTGTAGTCCAGCAACATCTGGATAGCTCCAGGTTCCCCATTTCTGATCTACTGGCTTGGCCATTATGGTAGTTCGTTCTCAAGATACACTTTATTTTTGGTGCTACCTTAGGTCTCCCCCTTTTGGAATACTGGCCATAATCCCAAGTGTGAACACCTAAGGGACCAATGCCCACCACTGGGGCTGTCCACACAATCTTCTATGGGGAAGGACAGATGCGGTCAGGACCTTTCGTTTACCAACCAAGTCCCAATACAAGTGATTTATCAGCCCAAAGAAATGAACCATGTTGAAAGCCTGAGAAGAAATGCTTAAACAATTTCTGTCCTTCTACTTTGTAGAAGACATCAGGGACAGCCCAAATGTTGCACACGGGTGTCTTTCATGGAGATCAGGATTATGGCCATTGCTTGGGGGGGGGGAGCATCTCAGGTCGCCTATAGCAAGGCAACAAGGGCACTGCCCCTCCTTTCCATCATTACCACAGATTTGCTCCCTTACCCAGTTCACACACTTGTTGACACAGAAGCACAATTATACCACCTTGGTAAGTACAGAATTTCTGAAAGGGACCATGATTCTCCTTCTGTCCTACAAGCTCTCTTGACTGACATAGATGATCTTGTTGCCAGGGAACTGGGAAAGAGCTACCTAACTAGGGGTATATTGTTCAGGTTGCATTGTCAGCAGAGCATCCAAGGACTTATCCAGTTTAGGAAAGAGGCACAGCCAAATAATCCAACCCAAATGCAGGTAGTAAACAACAAGGCTTTTCTACCTTTCCACATGCTAAATCAGGGTTGTGGGGAAAATGGGACTTAGGCTCACCCATTGTGATAACAAATGTTCCAGTCAAAGCACAGTTCGGCCTTCTGTTACACAGGAGCTTGTGGTGGGTTTAGCTTTGATTCGGAGGAGAAAGGGTAAAAGTCTCACCACTGCTGCCAAAGCCCAGGGGAGGGGATAACTGGAATATCTAGCAGTCATTTACACTTTCCAGAAAATCTGGATCAAAGATGGAGCTGAAATGATGGAGTGGGCTTTGTTTGCAATGTTGGATTTTGGGGCAGGAATTCCACCCAGATGATTAGACTTTTTACCTTGGAAGGATGTGTGTGTGTGTGTGTTTCCATCTCCATATTTCCTTGTCTCTGCACAAAAGAATGGGTGTTTGCACACAGAAATGTGGAGAAATCTCCCCACCCTGCTCTCTTCTATAGAAGACAAATCAAATCTCCATAGAGCCAATCTGTGGATTCCCTGATCCAGATTTTCATGGCCAGTTCTCACATCTCTGGGAAGACCCCAATGGTTTGTTGGCTTTCATCTTTGTTCTGGAGCTGATCTGAACACTGCTGGCAGTGAAGGGGGTGATAGAAGAAAAACCCACCACAGTCACTTTCATGCCGTAGCCATTCTGCCAGGACGATCCCTCATTTCCCTTTCTTCTGTGCTTAGTAGTGCATGTAGCATGTTGTGGGTGTCCTCCTGGTTCTCCTACCAACAGCGCTCTTTTCTGACGCTCAGCAGGCAGTGTGGCCTTTCTCATCTGCCTGCAAGCAAAAACCCCGGTCCTCTCTCTGTCTCTCTCCATGCTTCTGATTAGCATGTTGTCCAGAAGTGCTTGCAGCCCACCACACCAGTGTCCTCGACTCCTTTGTGTCCTCCTCCAGGAAATCACCATGGGTTTCATTTCTTTTGCACCCTCAAGTGGATTGCATGTTTCTGAATGGCTACTATTTTGGTGATTTTCCCCTAATGCTAGTGACTTTGGATGGGTAATCCTTTCTCTCTCTCCCTCTTGTCATTTTCTTGCATTCTCATTCACCATCCTGAGTATAGGAAAGATCCTTGTCATGGCAATGTCCATGGAGACATACTGAGGAGCTTAAAAAATGTTAAACAATATATATTTTTTTAAATGGCTTTAGTGGCATGCCCAAGCTTGGACGTGAAAGTTGTCAAATTATTGTATTCTGATTTTTTTATTTGTTTGCATAGCTTCTTCTTTCCTGGCGGAGACTGACAGCAGCACAACAGGCAGAAATTAAGCAGGTGCAGCTTTTTTCCAGCACAAAAGATGCACTTATGGGGACAAATTAATATGTACTGAACTTCTGCCCGCCATGCAGCAATTTCAGAGTCTCTTTCAGGAAAAAAAGGTCTCAACCTACTCTCAGCCACTTTGTAGACATTGAAAGATGGCAAAATAGTTTCCTTATCTGTGGACTAGATTTACAAATCTAGTGTGCATGATTTTATGAATCATGTTTTAACTCCTTCGTATTGTCCTTGCTCAGGGCAATGATTGCTCAGCATTGTGTGGATATCCACAGGTCGGTTTACATAATTGACAACAAGAAAAATATGCTTTAAGTGCCTGCAGGATACCTGACATGCTATTGCTTCAGCTTGGGTCATGATCCTGCAAATACACAAACCTGAATGCCTTTGACTTACACAAGAAACTGCATAGAGGTTTGTGGGGCTTCTTACATGATTGGAGGTCAAAGGACTCTTCTTGGAAGAAAGGGGACTTGTTCAACAAAGAGTAAACATGTGCACCACAGCTGTATTTACACAGGAGAGGGATGGACAATGACACCTCAAATAATCAGGTCAAACCTCTTACTTAACTGCCCAGGGAAACAGTCCCAGCAGGACCTGAAGAATTTTGATTTTTAACCAATGGTTTCACTTCACCCTGCTGTAGATTCTGATGTTCTCTGATCCATTTGATTTTTATTTGAAAATGAAATAAGGGAGAGAGAGCAAATAAAACCTTAGCCCTGGGGGAAGGAGTAGAGAAATGACAACATTGAAAAAAGAACCTTGACAGAATATATATATTATGTGTGTGTGGATTGAAATAGTGAGTGGCCTGCTTGTCCTAGGATTCTGCTGGTTAAACTAAGTACTTCCCAAAATCTTAAGGTTTCAAACCCACTATAGTAAAAAAGGGGGGAGGGGAAGAAAACAAAAACAAAATTCAAGTGCTTCGGAGAGCTTCCTACATTGGTGCTGTCTGGGCGGCTGGATGACAATACTTTCAAGCATGGTGGCCTACAGAGTTATCTTAGAGCCATGTCCCAAGGGAGGTGGTGGCTGCCTTGTCATCTTCATCTTCTGCCTCCTTCCTTCCTTCCTTCCTTCTCTATTTATCCATTTATTTGGCTTCAAAGTGTTGCCTTTTCTTCTTTAGTCTCTGCCATTGCCATTGAGAGAAGTTGATGATAATAACCGTAGATTCCGAGGTCCTCAGTTTCTTAAAATGAGATGAAAGGAATCAGTCTCCTGGGCACGTCGTGAGGTGTGGGTGGGTAATGGGTGGGTGGGTGGGGGAAAGGGCTCTGGCAGGGAGTGGCAAAGAAGGATAATTCACTCAGTGTTGCCACTGTCAAAGTTGTGACACTGGAGGTCTCCGGCTACGTAATCCGTTCCCGGCAGCTTCAGTCCGTACTTATCCACGCACCAACACAGTCCACGTTTTCGGCCCCGAGATGGCTTGCACTGGAGAGAGGGGGACGAAAAGAGTGGAGAGTGAGTGGAGGGCGTCTGGGATGGTCACGCCTCCCCTGAGAGGAAGACATCCCCTGCCCACCTTAACTAGACTAGAACCCCAAATAAGCACAGTTTGCTTCTGGGTAAAGGAGTGGGAGAGGTGGAAACCAGCCTAGCCTGCTCCTTTAACTACAGCTTAATCTGAAGAAATAAACTTTTTCCAGCATGGAGATGATGAGCATCATCACTTGCAAATTTTGGTGGATCAAGATGTAGGTTAAGGCAATTAAATGTGGGCAATTGTCCTGGGTCTGCTGTAGGGTTGCTTGGGTTCCTAACTACACATGATGCTAATGGTGTCACTTGCAATCGTATTTTTTTTTATTCATTTAATCACCTCCTGCGCCACGTAATGCTTGGCTCATACAGAGCATAAATCCATAGGCCACAACCTTGGTACAGACCAGTGTTCTTCAACTTTGGATCCTCAGACGTTGTTGGACTACAACTCCCATCATTCAAAGCTCACAACACCACCTCCTGCCACCCCTAATGGGTAAGTCAGCTTTGAATGATGGGAGTTGTTGCCCAACAACACCTTGAGGGCCCAAGGTTGAGGAACACCAGTTTAGATTTTGTGGTGAAATAACTGTTAGGAGACTGGGTCAATTGACTCGAAGCTGTTTGATGGGGAAGAGCCCCTGCTGTCTGTACCCCTGGACCACAAAGCAGAGCTTGACTCCAAGCAGAGCTTCTACCTGTTTCCTCTTGTAGAAGCCTTTCCTGTCACAGTTGGGAAGGTGGACGGCACGGGGGATCATGCGCTGGCTTGATTTGAGCTCCTGCAGCGATGCCTCCATCTGTCTACGGCAAGGGCCCTGAAAGGAGAGGAGAGAAAGCAATCAGGTGCTGAGGAGGATGAAGCACTGAACTCCCAAGATAAGGTCAGATTAAGCAGAATTCATTAAGATTAGTAGTGTTTTCTGCATGCTTATCTCAGTGAGGATGTGCAGATTGAGCCAAGAGGCAAGCACATGGGCAGTGGCAATAGTGGTGAGTTAATGGGCACACACACAGAGCATCTTAGCCTGGCAAAACCTGGAACAGGCACTGCTTGGAGGAAACCAGCTTCACTATGTGGTGGGCGGCTGAGCACATGAAGGTGGGTGGAGGGAAGAGTCACTATGCAGAGTGGGCTTTAAACTAGCAGCTAGAATTGTGCCCGCCAGCTCCATGTTTTCCACTTATCAATATCCCTCTCTAACCATCCTCTACCGGCATGGCAGTTATGGTGGGAACATAGATGGTAGGAAGAGGGGAGGAGACAAGACATGGAGCAAGAGAATGAAGGGCAAGGGCACATGTGGTACAGGGAAGGACCACACTTACCAGTTCAAACTCTGGCCTCAGCTCAGGGGCAGCAACGCGAGGGTGTGCCGTGTTTTCTGCCCCACCAACGAACTTGGATGAAGTCAGCTTCTTCCTGCGATCCTTCCTCAGGGCCTCTACCTTGGACTCAGGGAGGCGCACGTGTCCCTTGTTCCTGTGCGGTTTGGAAGGGTAGGTCTCCTCTGCCATTTCTGAGGTGGTTGGGTCCTCATGCTCTCGGGATTCTCTTTCTGAAGGGGAGAAAGCAAGAAAAAGAGTTGCTTCTTGGACTTTCATCCATTTCCTTGAGCCACAGCGTCCTTCTTTGCTCACTGCTTTCGTAACAGCAGTCTCAAGATCCATAAAATGCACCATCTGTATTTGTGGAACACATGAAGCCCACATTCTGAGAAACCTCACATATTGTCAGGGACTGGACAGAGGGGGAATGGTGGGAAGCGCCTCCTCAGCCTGGCCCTTCTAGAGGAGGACAGTATAGATTTACAACGGTGGCTTTTGGGAGGTCGTAGCTCAGAGGCAGATGAGGTGAAAAGCTGGTAAATAATGGGAGAGGAGCAGGAAGAGGAAGAAGCATCAGGGGAGAGACAGTTGACAGACTCAGTGTCTTTAGAAAACATTCCAGATCCCTCTTCTCCCAGAACCTGGCGGGCATTGAAAGGAGAAGAGTTTTCATGGGCTAGCTGGTAGAATCCACTTTGGCAGGTGCATGAAATGTTATCTTTAGTTGGAGCATGTGGGTGAAAAGTGGATAAATATGTGAAGAGTGTGATCATATGGCAATGAGATGCAAAAAGGGAGGAAAAATGGGGGGGGGATAAGGATGATATGTTTCTGGATAATATGTTTTGTTTTAATTTTGAATAAAAAAGTTATTTTTAAAAAAGGAAACTGTTTAAATGATATTATAACAGCCCAACCTGCTATAATCCAAGGTTGCTGAACACAGTGTTGCTTTTCTAGGGTGACTAAACTACAGCGCATTGTACCACAATCCTGTTGCCAGAATAGGAATCAGACAGCAGAAGACAGGATAATTTGGGTTCCCAAATTTTGGAGGTGGAGTGTGCTAAATTTGATAAATTCCCAACTCTTGCTACTGCCACAGTTATTAGTGGAAAGGTTATATTAAGTGCCAAACTGAATGCATTCAAACGAAGAACTCTCCAGCTGTTGCATGGCAGGAATATAGCCTACTGTACCAAGAGAAGAGCCACACCCATTATTCCACCCACTTGCCTCTGGCCCTGCCCACCCCTAGCATGTGCTGCCCACCCCTCAGATGGTTGCCAGTGCAGGAAGGTGGCCCTCAGGTTGAAAAAGTTCCCTACTCATGATGGCTCACATTCAGGCTTGTTCACAAGAATTGTTTCCTTGGCATATGCCCTGGGAGAAGCAAGCGTCATTTGCTTTTCAATGCTCTGCAACAATGCTCTGCTTCTGGATCTTAATGTGGAAGAGTGAGGCCCTCATTAAAGAAAAGCATGTGGTGCTCCATACAAGGTCAAAAGAGACATTACAAGGTATAGTCCCCTGAGTGAAGAGATGGAGCAGATTTGTTGCCTGGCAAGGACTCTCCAAGGGGTGGGTTGGAATCCTCTCAGTAACAGCGGATCTTCTCAGCTCTCAGCCGTAAACACTCTGGCAGACTGTGTGAGGGGCCAAAACATACCCAGGGGCAGCAAGTGTCCTGTTGTTCACTTGCAGCAGACTATACTGAAATCTGTCACTAAGCCTCAGGCAAGCTGATGGCTTGACATTTGTAGTCTCCTCCTCACATGCAGACATGTATTAAGCAGCTGAGTGGGAGGGGGAAATCTCCCCCTCTCCTTTCCAATCAAGCAGTTTGCTAGCATTTCAAATATATCTGAATTCCAACAGAATTTTGAAATATATGTACAGGGGTCAAGTGCAAATTCCCACTTTTGTGTGTGTGGGGGTGTGTGGGGTGGGGGTTGAGACATCCCCTTAAGTTTTTATTTAAAAAAAAAATCTTTGTACACCTTCAAACTTCAGTGTTCAAACATGCTAATATTTTCTTGTCTTGGTGGCCCCATTTTGGCTGCAATCTTATTTGCACACCCCACTCAAGTTTGCTATTAAAGGAGCAATGGTCAAGAGTCATCACTGCTATCAAGAAACATTGAAGGTGATGGTGGCAAATCTGATGTCTCACAAAGTTTACAAGCAGGCAAAATACTGGTAAAGGTTAAGGTAAAGGGACCCCTGACCATTAGGTCCAGTCGTGACCGACTCTGGGGTTGCGGCGCTCATCTCGCTTTATTGGCCGAGGGAGTCGGTGTACAGTTTCCAGGTCATGTGGCCAGCATGACTAAGCCGCTTCTGGCAAACCAGAGCAGCACACGGAAATGCCGTTTACCTTCCTGCCAGAGCAGTACCTATTTATCTACTTGCACTTTGAAGTGCTTTCGAACTGCTAGGTTGGCAGGAGCAGGGACTGAGCAACGGGAGCTCACCCCGTCGCGGGGATTCGAACCGCCGACCTTCTGAATGGCAAGTCCTAGGCTCTGTGGTTTAACCCACAGCACCACCCGCGTCCCTATTAATGCTGGTATCCATCCCCTATTAATCCTTAGTGTCTGATCACAAAAGGTAATGAATGTTACCTTTCAGGGTATCTTGGGCCTGGGTAGCAGCCACTCATTTATCCTCCATTTATTTATTTAATCCTTGCAGACATCAATTTATGCATGTGGCCTTTCCCACCTTCTTGTGGCAGTGCATTCCCCAGAGAAAATCCACCCTGCCTCCTAAACTCTGTGTGTGTTCAAACTCTCTGATCCTAGCCAATATGATCTTATTAACAGATGGTCGCTTTTAGAGCTCCAGCACAGTTATATATAGGAACGACTTGGTAACAGCCTATACTTAGCTCACTTGTGACCTTTAATACAGCCCTTAGAGCAAAAGAAGGCTATTTTTAGCTCCAAATTTCAATAAAGTCCTAACCCCACAGAGACTATGGAATCCTGCACTGCCCATTTCTACCAGGCCACCCAGGGCAGCTGAGAGATTAGGGTGGTCACAGGAAAACGATTAAAAGGAAGCACAGAGTGGAAGAAAGGAAGGGCAGAAGCTTGGCTTTGTCTGCTCCCAGGATGCACACCCAGTCTCCTTAAAGCTTTCAACAACCTCAAATCACCCTGGAATCTGAGCTGTCACAGATGACCCACTTGGTGCTAAGCTTGTGTTGGCAAGCTTGCTGGAGAAGGTAGTCCACTATTGCACCTCTTCCAAGAAGACCCTCTCTCCAGTCTCCATCTATGGGCACTTAATCTAGAACAGATCTCTCTCACCATATTTAAGAGGCCAATCCTAAAAATCCTTATCCAGATGTAGAAGTGAAGTGTCATTGGTTAAAGACAGGGCTTCCTGGAAAGTACTCCACACTTTACCATGCAGTCCTAAACATAAGGACTAGGGAATACAGTGGTACCTCGGGTTACATACGCTTCAGGTTACATATGATTCAGGTTACAGACTCCACTAACCCAGAAACAGTGCTTCAGGTTAAGAACTTTGCTTCAGGATGAGAACAGAAATTGTGCTCCGGCGGCGCGGCAGCAGCAGGAGGCCCCATTAGCTAAAGTGGTGCTTCAGGTTAAGAACAGTTTCAGGTTAAGAACAGACCTCCGGAACGAATTAAGTACTTAACCTGAGGTACCACTGTAAGTCCTTTGGAGGGGTACCAAGTTGCTATCCTGAGAACACAAATGCACCCTGATAGAGCAGAGGAGGCAGCTGCATGCAAACATCATCACCTGCCCTTTTCCCCACTGCTGTACTGTGAACCTCAAGTCCTGCTTGTGAGATGAGAGGTGACAGGGGTGAGGGTGGAGCAGGCAGCTCTCCCATCTCCTGTTGCATATGGGGACATGGAGGTTCGGCCATGTTCTCCAGCTTGCGATTTGACAGCTTGCAGCTCAGTTGAACCCAATGGGAATGAGCTTTTGAACAATTACCTAGAATTAGGCTATTAATCTTTTTGTTGCTTCACACCAATCACACCAATTTTTGTTCCTAGCACACCAAATAGAGGTTCTGACTCTGCTGCAAATTTAAGATGTTCCTTTTGGTTGGTAGTGCTGTGTAGAGATGGGCAACCTGTTGGGTGCTGTTGGACTCCTAAGCTCCCATCAGCCCCAGCCAGCAGGGCCAGCAGTCAGAGTTGATGGGAGTGGTGGTCCAACCACATCTGGAGAGCCACACCTCTTGCTTCTTCCCTCACCTATTCAATCCAATCCATACCATCTCCTGTATGGACCCTATGCATGCTGCTTCAGTAGACAACACTGCTTTGGTTACATAGAGATGAAGCTCAAGCCAAGACATGTAACATTAGAGGCTTAATACTCAGTGAGGTCGTTTCATCCACTGCTGCATTTTAAGCCACATTTCTACATTGCTGCAGAGAGAGGGATGGGGATGTCTTTACTCAATGCTCATTAACTGTTGTTGTTTTTAAAAAACACACACCTGCAACTCCCTCTCAAACACCTATTCATGAAGCTGTCATCTGCACACGTGCAATGGCTGCCAAAAATGTGCACACCTCGGCTTAAGAGCAAAGTGAATATTGTGTTCATTTTCAAATCGGATGGAAACTGGTTTGAAGAAAAATGCATCAAAAAGGATAGATATGGATTGTGGCTAAGGTCATGTGCACATGACTTCAAACACCAGCGGTGGGAGCGAGCTGGAGCCAGAGTAAGTGGGTGGGAATGCTGTTGAAGCATCATGATCCAAAGATCTGTCATCAGGTCTGCAGAAACACTACTCAGGGCAACAGGTGTGCATCTTGCTTTGGTGAAATAGGTACCTTTGCCTGGCTTCCTCCCCTCTTCGTCCTATGAAGGATACATATCAAAATCCTCTACCCCTTAACCCAGGGATGGGAGATGTTGCTGGACTACAACTCCAGCCCTGACTATTGGCCATGCTGACTGGGGCTGATGGGAGTTGAAGGCTAGCAGCTTCTGAAGGGATCAGGGGTTTCCTTCGAACCTGTCTTAACTTCACCAATCACTTCAATATCAGCACTAGGCCTGAGATTCTTGTCAGTTCCTGTCTCCAGAGGACAAAGGACCAATCAAAAGTACTGGTTCAGTGTATTATTTTGCTTTTCTGCTTAACGTATGGACATGTGTTTTTAAAAAGCCTCAGGTCACATCTGAGGGGGAAAATATCTAAGGCTCCTTGTTGCATGTCTGTA